ATATCAAAGTGTCGCTCTTCACTCGTAAGAAGCCTTGCCCGTTTCTTTCTGACTCTGACCTACTAGCTGAAACCTTTGGAATTGAGGCGATTTTCGAAATTCGGCGGGGCTTCTCGTATTTCGGTGAGACTTCCCATACCAGCCCAAAGACGAGAAAACTCCGGAAATGACTATGATTCCGAACAAAAGACGCGAAAGTGATCACAGATTCAGTTGAAATTTATTAGAAGTAAACATCTGGAGACCGAATCAAAGTTCAACCAAGCGTTAGCCCTGCAAAAGAAAAACACAAAACAAACCTTCGGGAACGCGTATGCAAGAGCATGAACTCCCGGTTCAGACATAAGCAATGAAAGGACGTAAATATTATCTTCCGGCACGTCATGGTCAAGGAGAATTCGAATAGCCATCATAGCTGCTGCACCTGAAATAGAACGTTTTACTAACGATGCTAATAGTTCTTGAGTTTGCACATCGCAAGGACTCATGAAGACGCACACGATGGGGAGGGAAGCGCAGTCACTGTAGGTGGGGCATGCGCCAAGATGGGCGGGGCAAACCCAAACATTCAAGATACTGTTATAGGGAGACCACTGAAAGTTTTTTAAGATCAGCAAGAAGTCAGCGGATGAAAAAATGGAGACGCACACTCAGTGGCGTGGCGTGCATCGAGGTGGGCAGGCATGAGTCAAAAATCCGTGTTTCTGTCCCATAACAGCCTGGATATAATCTAACAGACAAAAATCAAAAACAGAGGACTGGAACAATAGAAGGAGACAATCTTCTAAATTTGCGGAAAATTTTCTAGTCTGTTCCGTATCGATAGAAATGATCAATCCAACAGCAAAAAATATAAAGCAAACATAATACAGCAAAAATTAACGAACCAGTCGCGACTGTCGCATCCAGAAGCATCACTTTATACTTGTCAATATCTTTTGGCAGACGGAGGTAGTAGAGCTCTGGTTCCATGGTCTTATCATTCGTTTGAATCAATATTTTTCCCATCTGAACGACGAAATAGCTAGCGTCATAAGCAGTATTACTAACAGATATTGGTACGTGACAAGACAATCGTAATATGCCACGCTGGGCATGGCCGTCAACGTCACGTACGTGAGCGATATCCCGCGGCTTGAAGTCTTGTCCTGTCCCGGCTTGAATTCGTGTGAGTTTCAATCAAAAAACTGATGCACGATGAAGCTGTCACAAACGGCCGCACAATGAGCCGCGTGCGACGATGACAAACTACGATTGTCTTGGCCATCTCCCAATAGATACTGCTAAACAGAGTGTTTACCTTACAATCCTTCACAACCGCTCGTAGAGAGTTCTCCATAGTCTCCCCTGCTCTCATTATTGCTATCCCGCAAATCTTGGCGCATTGACGACGTCCTTTCACCCTGAAAGAGTGGTAAACGTAAGTAGCTCTTTGGAAAACACGCGAAAATCGACTAAAAGGTGAAATTTAAAAGACACTGTTATAAAGCAGACTGATGTAACGGAGAAGGGTTTTCGCTCTAGTCTAAGAGAACAGGAGCTCTGGAAGGACAAGTAGTTTCACTGGGCAAAACAGATTCCGTACAGCCCCTTTTTTATGGTGTTATCTGTTCTGCCTGAGAAGCCCTTCGAATAAACTGTCGACCTGCGGTATTTTGACTGAAAAGGTCTCGACACAAGCAGAAAGGTCCCGTCTACCAGGTGGTGTTCCCAACCTTTCACAAAAGGCAACTTTTTCGCGAACAGGTTCTGTATAGCAATAAATGTGAAGACAGCTTACTTTTGACCATTGTTCAGCTCAATCTCTACATCTTTATACGGCATGAAATTCATGGCTTCTTCAACAAGAATGCGTGTAAGGCGCTCAGAGTAGAAAATCAACTCATCTCTAAAAAATATTAATTTTAGCCAATAATATAAACATAGAGATTGTTCCATTCAGCCTCAGGGTCAACCTTAGGGATTTTGCGGTGAACAGTTACCCTAATCGGAACTCAAACCCGGAAAAGGTTCTTAAACTCCTGAAAAAGACAGTCTCGAACTTTGCGGATAGGCATTCTTCGAGAGAATCGATGGCAGATGGCTAGATAGGATCTGATTGCTACTGATCCTTCCACACAGTGGATTCTTCGCTGGAACTAATTTCCATCTAACCCTTTGTCGTCATCTCGCGTATTGGATCATGCACATTCGTGGAGCATGAACATGGCCTAGATGCTAGATGTCAGTGCCCTAGGCCTTGCTCATGCTCCCTCAAATGCGGAGCGGAGTATCTGAACTAGAATATTCTACGTAAGAGTTTTTGTACCCTCGGTTTCTCTCTATAATTGCAGTATTTCTGTTTACTTTCCTGACGTGAAGCACTCAAATTTTTTTTGGCTGGATCCATTTATTTCATGGCTAGATATTTCGACGTGAACGTCTTTCAGAGACGAGATCAACCTGTGCTATTTATTAACAGCCGCAAATGACAGCAGATTTACGGTGCAATTCCGGTGAGTAAGACAATTACGTTAAAACTTCAAGACGAGTAGTAATTTTCGTAGCAGTTGGTGGGGCACCAAATATTACAATGCAACGTTTCTCCAGCCACCTCCTGAGTAATCTTTCGCTTGTAACTATCGTGGTTCACGTGTACCACTTCGCAGCTTCACAAGAATTTACGGTTCTATCAGAGTAAAGTTGGTTACTTAACATGCACTGAAAAAGTAGCCAACTGAAACCGCAAAATGCCCACCCCCTAAGCGGAACAGTCTGGCTGGTTACGTAACATATACTGAAAAAGTAGCCAACTGAACTGCAAAATGCCCACTCCCTCCCTAAGCCTAACAGTGCTTTTCTATATGAAAACCTCTAGGCAGCGTTTATACCTTGTGACGGTAATAAAGTGGCCAACTGAAGAACAAAGCAATAAAGAACTGCAGAATTAGGAAAAGCATTATTGACGAAAAGGATAAGTTACGTATCGATCTGTTTCCGCAATTCGTCAACTGTGCAACCCTGCAATTCTTCAATTCTACAACTCTTCAAATCGATATGTATCTAATCCCTTTGGTCAGTCAACCGTCATTACTCTATTACTCCAGTGCGTGAGTGCCGGGGCTGCCAAGAAGTAACTTACCTTTTCGTGTACTTGTTCCGGATAAACGTGTGCAAACCACGAACTTGTGGTGTTTCTCTGATGATAGTAAGACTGTCAGGCAATTCATCAGGGAGCTGACTCATGTTCACCAGATCGTGACGACATTGCGAATGAGCTGTTTGGTCATAACCTATAGCACAAATGGTGATCAGAGCAAATACGAACCGTAGCATTTCGTGACTCACCTCTTTTCACCAGTTGGGTCATCACTTGCTTCGCAATGAGATTGATTGCCACATCATTGTCCCCACCTCGTGGAACGATAATGTCAGCAACCTTCATTCCTGGCGCGATATACGCTTCGAATGCCGGCTGTAATGTTATCGGCTTCTCTTCCGCGCTATCTCTCCATCTCCACATCACAAATACGTGTTAAGCTTAGAAAACCTGATAATTCTCAATAATAATGACAGCTATGCTACCGTAGCTTTTTTTACCTAATAAATCTTCTAAATACAGTGTTGCTCACTGCAGAATGAGGGGCGTGTCAGAATGGTGGATTTGGCGCGGCGCTTAACTCATCCAGCTGGATACGCCCTTTCATCCGCAGCGAACAGGACTGTATCTTTCTTTAATAGTGCACGTCATTAAACCAGCGTCCGCGATCAACCAAGGTGAAAAAACCTTGCACTGTACAAGATCGCGGAGTCCGCAACCACAGCGGATATCCCACTCTTGCGGCTCGAAATCGATTGATTGACGAAGGCGGAGTCAACAATGCTGAGCTGACGCCGCCTGTCCTGTTAATCCCGCCCCGACTGGTTAACAGTTATCAATCCTCGCTGGCGTTAGCTCATAGGCAGATCGATTATCAATGCCAGCGTGGATTAATTAGATTAGATAAGATAACCTAGGTAGTGGCCTCATGAGAATTAGCCGCAACGAGGCGGCGAAGTGTTTTGGAGAACTCACCCAAAATCTGCGAAACTCGTCCAGATGCCTTAAATCGAATAGGGTCTGATTTCATGTTCTGTTCATGTTCATGTTCACACCGTTTTTCCTTTATTTCAATAATGCTTTATTGGACCACCTGTTCTAACAAATCACCCCTACAACCTTCCAAAGTCCATCGCGGGCGCTGTCTTTAAGACAAGTGGGACAAGGGCGTTCTCCAGCTTAGGGAAGGGGCACTTTGCAATTCCGCCAGTTTCTTTTGCTGGTCCATATTGAACATTCTAGTGAAATCTGTAAAGTCTTGCAAAGCTGCGAAATGTTACAAGTGCGCCAATTTGGTGACAGAAATTTTCAGGTTTCTACAAGATGCCCCGTACAAACTTTGCTGAATACAATTTTGTGCTCCCACCAAATGATACTCAGCGGAACTGCGCTAACTGCGATGAACCAGCATATAGATAAGGCATTGTTCACAGTCTGCGACCCTGACGAAACGGCGGTTGGGAGAAAAGCAAAAAATAGTCATCGATCGGAGAATCGCCAACCGCTAGTTTCGCCGAACCGCCGCGGTTCGGCGGTTGGGCGAAAAGCAATAAATGCGTATCGATTTCGCTGGCGAAAAACGCCAGGGCGATCGAGCTAGCGTTTCGTCGAAGGCGAAAAACGTCGCGGTTTGGCGAAACGCCCGTCGATTCGTATCAAAACCCTTTCGCCCAACCGCCAGACTCTTCGCCCAACCGCCAGTCGATACGTATCAAAGCTTTTCGCCGAACCGCTGCGTTCCAGAGAAACGCTGGGCCGCAGACTGTGAAAAACGCTTAAGAAAACAATAGACAAAGAAGTGGACATGACTAGGAAGAAGCAAACGTCTCGTAGAAAATGGCGACCTTTTGCAGGGTGTAACCCCTCCATAATAAATGAAAACAAGCCACAAAAAGTACCGCAACAGAAAATCGGGAGGATGACAAATAACGTAAAAATGCAAAGCGAGGATTTGTCTGAAGGCGCCGTTCACTACTGGAGAATTAAACGTTGACTTGACCAAGGGATAAGTACTACAAGAGGTACCTTAACAAATCTAAAATACTGATCAAGCACACCAACGGTGTCACGACCTCGCTCGTTGATATCACGATTTAGTCGTCGAGCTAAGCGCACGTCACCATCCGTGTCCACAAATACCTTGAATACGACTACTTTTCGAACAGAATTACCGTAACATCCGCTGAAAGTAAAACCTTCATATCCATCATGGCGGTTATTTCTGGACGATGGAAAGCGAGGATTCCTTCGAAAATCAAGACATCTGCGCCGTACATCACCTAAATAATGTGTGGTGAGAATTAACAAAATAGTCCTTTTCAAAACATCAAGGTGTGCAGTTCTGGGCCCTTGGTGGGGGCCACGCGAGTCGGTGCTAAAACTGAATTCTCTTCACAAGCGCGCTCTCTCTGAAACCTGCCCAAACTTCCTTCGTAACCAACGGTGGTTCCACCTCTCATTCTAATAAGCCAACTTGACCAAGAGATTTCATGGTTCTCCTCTAACATGGAAGCTGCTTCACGTCCTACCATACAACGGCCCGAAAAACGGACGGCGAAATATCGAAAACTGGCCAAACATGCTCAATTCCCAGCCGACCACCACCCGACTTTTTGAATTCCAAGCCTTCTGGATTATTGTCCCCCGAGACATTGCAGCTCGGAGGCAAATCGGTACACTTGGCTACCTCGCAACTCTTTCCTTCGCGGAGCCGAGTTAAAACCTAGAAAAAAGCAAATTGAGTATAAAGTAGAATGCAGAGAAGAAACTTGCAAAACCCAAAAAAAACCTCAAACAGCAGATCGAAATCGAAGGCATTGGGATGGTCAAAATTGTAATTTGATTCTTCTGCAAGAGCGTGCTCTTTCTCGTTCAGTACCTATGGAAGAAATCTTGGATAATCTGTTAACGGGATCTCTAAACTATCTACCTTATAAAAGCTATCCATACTCAAGATTGTCACCCACGGTATCTCCAGCTTTTCAATGATCTTCTCTGCTACTGTGGTTTTACCACTGGCTGAACTGAAAAGAAACGAGTGAACAGGGCAATTTTAGGTCTTCATGGAACTTATAAACACTAAAAAACTCAAACAAATCGCCGGTTAACGCAGCTCTGTTATTTTCTGGGACCTCGAAGCGAAGAGATGCCATTCATCTAACATATTAGTGAGATCAAGGTACGCTCTGTTACCGAGGGAAGTTTTGCAAAATACGACTCCCCTGCAAGTATTCCACTCTGGTACGACGCCTCTTTCACCATTCCACCTATCATCCCTTCCACTTTCCAAAATTCCCCAAAACCTGCCGATGAGCGTATGAAATAGGAAAAATCAACCACGTAAAAATCGAGCCAAGGTCGCCCATCCTCCTTTCAGAGACCAAATACAACCCCCACCCGCTGAAGATTCCCCACTGTAAGACATGCTTAAAGTGAGATCAGCGAGATAACGTATCACATTAATAACGGGGAAGAGAGCATCGCATCATAATCAGTGACGTCTCAAAACACGTCATCAACGTGCAAAGTGACGTCATCTATCTCTTGATAGGTAACATACTCAATCCCATCTCTGCTGAATCATCGCCGATTTCCCTAGTTTACAGCCGTATAAAAGCCTCCTCCCGATATCGAAATCTACAATAAAGCGATAATTCAAGCAAAGAACCAACCCGCCACAGATGCCAATGACATACGGCTGCTTGAGTGTATTTCCTCTGCTGTCATACCACGGCGGCCTCCCTTTTGTGTATATTTTCTGGAATGAATGAGCATCAGTCTTGTTTCCACCGTTCTCAGATCAGTCAGTATCTATTCTAAAAAAGATTCATGGCAGGAAGGATAGGGATAAACGGATATTTCCAAGGCAAATTAAGGAACCATAAAGTCACAGAAACCGAGGTGCTACTAGTCCAAAGGGAAGGGGGCGGGTGTAGCGCGACATGACGGCGCGGCTAGGTGGGACTTCCCTCTCGTGTTTAGACTCAAAAGGGAGCAGTCCACAAGAGTCCACGGAGTCCAAGCGTCTCAGGCCACAGAGAAGCGAGTATGGT